ACTGCAATGTCTTTTTTGTGTTGAACACATCATGTACCAAGCCCGTCGAAGGCAAATTCCTGGTGTGCTCGAGTTGTAAAGCAAGCTTTATTCTAGGGAAAAATTGTTCCGCGATCACAGACAGTGCTTATATCAAAATGTCTACGGTTAAGCGTGAAACGTGGGCGTGTCAGATGTGCAAGTCTGGCATGGGTTTGGGTGATAGCAATGGTTCACTTGTTCTCCAGTTATCTACTGGTGATACCAAACTGGACCAGCTGACTAGCACTGTTGAGATGTCTGTGTCGAAAGTTGAGGAACTGCTCTTTTTCAAAGAAACCTTTGAAAAGATGGCGGGCTCTGTGACTGAAAATTCAAACGTCTATTGGCTTCCTGTCGGAAAAATACGATTCTATGCTCTCTGCTGTGTCTTGTGATTGATTGATGATTAATTGATATGTGAGGTTTAACGTCCCAAAACCATCATATGATTATGAGAGACGCCGTAGTGGAGGGCTCCGGAAATTTCGACCACGTGGGGTTCTTTAACGTGCGCCCAAATCTGAGTACACGGGCCTACAACATTTCCGCCTCCATCGGAAATGCAGCTGCCGCAGCCGGTATTTGATTCCGCGACCTGCGGGTCAGCAGCCGAGTACCTTAGCCACTAGACCACCGCGGCGGGGCTGCTGTATCTTGTAACCAAGCCAAATTATCTGATCTAAGATCTCAGGCGGAATCGATTTCCGTTACAAATGTCCATCAAGCTCAAGTTCTTGACAGAACGACAGTGCATATGAATGAACTAGAGTAATATGACAGACGTTGTAACTTTGAAATCCATGGTCTCCCTTCTAAACCAGGTGAAAACCTGAGGTCCTTCATTAGTGACGTAGCTGGACGTTTGAACCTAGTAAACTTTCAAGAAGATGAAATGTGCAAGGTACACCGTTTGCCAACCCACGATAAATCTACACGCAGCCCACCTATTCTTGTGCAAGTACAGAACACTTCAGTAAAGAAAAATGGCTTCGAGCTACAAATGGCCCTCGTGATCTTGCCCAGTTCGATTACTTTCCTCGTTTGTTCATTAATAAAAACTTGACATGGACGAACCAAGAACTCTTCCGATTGACCCGCTTGAAGTGAAAAAAAAGGTTATAACTTCGTGTGGATGAGAGACGGAAAGGTGCTAGCAAGAAAAGCTGAAGAAGCACCTACCATTCGCAATTAAAAACTGTCGGATTAGGATAAGCTGGCCTAAACATGGCGGATATGGAAAGTATCACATGAACCGACTTCGCGAGTGCAGCTAAATTCCTATCTGGTGCCTCATTTGACGGCTTCAACGTAGCGCACGTCAATATTCGTAGTCTTCGAAAACATTGGAATCAGTTCTGTGCCATCACTTCATCATCTCGCTTAACTTTCCATGCTTTCGTCCTTACTGAAATCAACATTTCATCCAAAAAATCCTCACAGTTTGCTCTGCGGGATACCAAGCCTTTACTTATACACACGCCCAATAAGAAAACAAAGAGGCATTGCTGTTTTTATAGGCAACAGATGGACAGTTTCACAGCTATTCTTTTTCCTTTTCACAAGCCGAAGTGTTAGCACTGCGCTTGAACACGCCCACTTTTTCAGTGACTCTCTTATCGGTGTACCGGCCTCCCAGTTTCAATACGCGCCTTTTCTTATCTTAACTTGAGTTCACACTATCATCCTTATCGATAGAAGAGCATGTGTTCATTTCAGGAGACGTCAACATTGACCTTTTGCATCCCACTGTAGGCCTCGTTGCTGTATATCTAGACAGCCTTTCTAAATGGGGCTTAGAGTGCCAAATAAATCAAGCGAATCGAGAGGAATTTTTGGCTGGCAAGCTCGTCGTGTCGTGCATTGACCACGCTTTAGTGCGTGCGCAGATGCTGCTCACAAAACTCGCAATAGTACAGACAAAGATAGCTGACAATTACTTTGTTTGCGGCTCAATCAGCTGTCCACATATGACGACAATGCCAACCGATACAAAAAAAATTTCGGTGCTAGATCCCAAAAAATTTGGTAATCTTTTAGATCATTAGGACTGGAATTCTTTTTTGTCAATAACGTCTCCTAGTGATCTCTAAGATAAAGTTGTAGAAGCGTTCATAAGCTTAAAAGAAAGTGCGACGCGAACAATACACTATAAACGACATAAACTGGATAATAAATGGATGTCAACACATTTGCTCGCTGCAATAAAGGAAAAGGACTTGCTTTGAACACAATGTAAGCGTTGTTCTAACTGCTCAGACTTGCGAGCTTAATTTAAGCAAAGTAGAAACAAGGCTAGTGCAATGATTCGCTCGGCTGAACGAACCCATTTCCGAGACAAATTGAAGGATGCCAGTAAGAGCAGCAAAAAAACCTGGTCGTTAATCAACACCTTTAGAGGCGCAAACAACTTGTATCCATTGAACAATCTCACAGCGCGTTCCAAATCATCAAAACCGGCGTTCCACAGGGATCAAATCTTAGTCTGCTGCTATTCAATATTTTTGTAAATGACCTTCACAGCGCGATACCGGTTTCTCTATATCAATACGCTGACGACGCTGTGATCGACACGACTGCAAACAACTTTTACGAGGCGATTACTCTTCTTCAGTCAGCTTCCACTAAAGCCATGGATTGGTTTCGAGATAACCTATTATTATAAATGTGTTTAAAACTAATCTAATATGCCTCCATAATCTATTGAAGAAGTAACCCTTAATTATCCTTTCATTTTGCATTGTTCTGACTGTTCATCCAGCTCTTGTAGGCCATTACAGTATTCATCTGTGGTGAAATACCTTGGCTTATACATTGACAGCGACCTTTCCTGGAATAGTCATCTCGCCTATGTTTGCAAAAGACTTCGCGCTGTGTCATATCTATTATATAACATAAGATACAAGCAGTTTTCAGTACATTTGATGATAGCACACGCTTTAGGTTACAGTATACTGCGTAACGGAATAACCATTTACGGACACTGTGCTGTCCGATGGCACAATAGAATAAACAGAATATTGCGTCCGATTAAAAAAATATATATCCTACGACCTGAACATTAATTCTGAGAGAAACACTTCAAAACGCTGTTTATGCCAAACTTCAATGATCTGTTAATTCAAATGGTTGTTTTAACACATTTCTGGTCCAAAGAATTCCTGGTTCCGTATGTTATTTCTCGTTCTTTGGCCCAAAGTACGTTACTGGAGGCCGCGGTGCTCAACAAAGCATGGAACTAGAATACGAGCCCATTATGTCCCAATCCATTTCAATGTACTACCCCCCAGCATTTTTCACACAAAAACAAAATACAAATTAAAAAAAACTTCTATGGCATATCTGTCTATAATTGTAATGCATGTAATTGTAATGCGTGTGTTATTTCATATACACTCATTCGCAAGCAGGATGCTGCACGATCATTCAGTGTGGTACTTTGCTTAAGAAGCATTTGCTATTATTCTGTTCTTTTTTCCTTTATACCTTTTCACTTTCAATTGCTGTAACTATTGTATAATGCTTGTAACTATCGCGTGTATGTCTTGTTGTTTCTAATCCTATATACATGTTGTTTTTGTCCTATCATCCCTTTTAGGCCATGAAATACAATATTGTAACCCGTCCGGTTTGTTTTGTTGTCTGCCAGGCTCTGCCACTCAAGCCACCGATTGGCTTTGGCAGGCCTAGTCCCATGTACTGTTTATTTGAAGAAATAAAAGACATTATTAATATAATTGTATTTATTACTCTAATAATATATTTCTAACTTCTATCTAAAATATTGAACTTCTAATACCAGGATATCTAGCAAAAGTTTGTTTTTAATCCAAACGCATTGACTCTAATTTATGTACCTGAACGACAAAACCAGCCAAGAACGCATGATAACGGAAATAGCCGAATGTAACCATATAAAAAGTATTTTGACAAATCGTATTTGGATGGAACCCACAGGCGTAGTTTTTTATACTTTTCAGTAGGGTGCACGGGTCCATGAAAGTCATTAATCTCGCAGTGTGCGAGAAGGAAGCGCAAGTGCGTTTTGCAACTTTCTTTTCTCAGCTGAGGACACACAATCCGCACTGCACGACGGTAGAAGTGACCCAAACGGCGACGCACAGGGGATGGCGGAAAAGTTATGGTGGAGGCGTAAATGACAGCTTATAAGTAGCTGTGCATTGACAACACAGACCAAAAAAATTGCTAAGGCCAAAGCGAAATAGCTTTTTGCACCCAAACTTTTAGTTTTTAGAAGCGCTAGTTTCGTTGCAGATGTATGTGAAGAGTTCAAAATAATAATCTTTGATTGGTGGGGGCGAATGAGACGTGCTAAACATGGACACGAGAGAAATACAAAACAACTCAACGGCATCGGCGCTATCTGGTTCACTCCTTTTGTGAACGTGTCTGCACACGTTACCTCATTACGAATTCGTACAACCAAGCTCAGTAAGCTCCCGTTATGAGCTATGCAAAGAGAACGAATTCGGCCGGCAAAAAAGGATGTGGGAATTTTTGTCTCGGATGGATGATTAATAAGGGCGAGTCTTGGCCTCCTGTCAGCCACGAGGTACCAAGAAGTAGGTGGACGACACCGCCATCCCACCGCTCTTTTTTCTTATAAATTAACGCATCTCGCTAATAAAGCGATGCCTAAATAAGGTACTGAACGTTTTTGCTCAGGTTGCAACTAGCTGCAGTGTATTTATGTTATGTTCGCACCTAATTTAAATGGTTCTCTTGGCAAAGTGCTCCACACGGACAACGTCGATAGTGTGTGAGAAGGTCACCGTGTTTACCTGGCAGCTACTGCAAACCGATGCACCCAGACTTCAGAGCCGTCACGGGGCAGGAAGACGACGTCGCAAAACTCGCAGTTCTTCCGCTGTTCCCGCAATGCAGGCATGGACCTAGCAGCCGCTCCTGGCGTGAAGTCACGCCGCTCGCCAGTGTCCTTGAAGATGTGAGCCGCCTCTTACCAGATTGTGGTGATGTCCCCGTTACCGGGCTCGTCCGGTGCAGGGCCGTTGACGGGGTTCTTGGCTATGGCCGCGGCGCACATCACTTGGCTGCCAGGAAGGCTAGGTGGCCAGTGCAGGGTGATGGTCAAGGGCAAGCGCCGCCTTAGCCAGACCACACGCCTTTGCACCCTCCAATCGGTAAAACGTTCTGGCGCACGACTGCGCGAACGCCCGCGAATGGTTGCGTTCATAATGATGATCATGATACTTAAATTATTGGCACCTACCCACTGATGAGTTTTTTCCGAGAGTTGGGAGGATCCTAGAGTAAGAATTTCCAGCGTGATATGGTTGAAAAGCTTGTTTCACGATTATTTTGGCGCCACGTGGGCGTCGTTGTTAACGAAAAATCACCGCCATGTCTATGACAGGAAATGGAGCAAGATCCTTAGAAAGCAAATAATATAAATTTGCGGCTTTGAGTAATTATCGAACAGAGGCCGTCGGTGTGGCAAGCAGGCGTTCTATCACAGGGCCACTAGATTTGTTGTTCTTTTGAAGCTGCTTTGGGAAAATCGGGGGGCCTTCAAGATTCACCTTTACCAGTTTAAGGCGATAGAGCGATATCCTGCAGTGTACCTGGTGCGTACTTCAACTACGTAGTGCTGCCCCGCCGCGGTGGTCTAGTGGCTAAGGTACTCGGCTGCTGACCCGCAGGGCGCGGGTTCGAATTCCGGCTGCGGCGGCTGCATTTCCGATGGAGGCGGAAATGTTGTAGGCCCGTGTGCTCAGATTTGAGTGCACGTTAAAGAACCCCAGGTGGTCTAAATTTCCGGAGCCCTCCACTACGGCGTCTCTCATAATCATATAGTGGTTTTGGGACGTTAAACCCCACATATCAATCAACTACGTAGTGCTGAATTTTTCTTACGCGATGGTAGTCTAGAAGTTCGAATTGTAGATTACTACAGTGTAATCGATAAAATTTAAAGAGGCTTGAGTCAATGAAACTTTTGCATATGGCTGCGTTTTGTGTAATGAGCAGCATGCTTTGAAGCACGACCAATCAGGCGCATGAAATGTTTTCGAATTCAGTATGCACACACAAAGTGGTTACGCACCGTAACGAGTGTGCCTTTTGTGATGGGGGGCCGGCTTTAAACCACGAAGTCGTTATCATAATCACTTGTTCTAACGCCCGATGACAATTTACGCTTGTGCCACGCAATATTGCTGCGATATTACATGTTCTCATCTCAAGCCCGCATACCATTACCATTATCACTTGAAAAGAAGGTATATAACAGCTGCATGTTACATTTTTGTATATTATTTTACCACTCTTTTCTTCCTTATCCACTGAAACCTTGCAGCCCTCTTCCCCATCCCTATACAGAGTAGCATGCCAGCGATATATAGATGCCAGCAAAATTATCTGTTTTTCTAACAGTATCTCCCCCTGTTAATTAACAGGATTTATCGAGAGTTGTGTGTTTCTACAACATGCCATAAATGCCACGACATCATAGATTTTGCTCATATGCTCTGGACTTGCTCCGCGTTACGCAGAGACAAGCAAAATACTGAAGAATGATGAAACGCAGCTTTGCGCAGTACTACATTAGAGGTACAATTATGGGCAGTTTAATGGGCCCGCGGAGCGGCTCAAAGGCAAGGTATTTCGGTCCCAACAACGTGGAAGCGGCCCGCTTCGGGCTAGGACACTAGCACGACCTGTTGGACCTTAATAGAGTTCCTTCTTTCATCAATCCATCTCTCTCTCTCTCTTTCTCTCTCTCTCTTACCGGTACTTATCTAGGGAGCGACAACTGGGAGGCTTGCAAAGGGGGTTCAGGTTAAATTAGGGAGGACGTTGCAAGCGATGTAAAGGTAGATGATAGGTGTAACCTTATGAAACAGGAAGAAAGCAGAGTGGATCAGGCGACAAAGGGGTATTAAATATATTATTGTTGAAATCAAAAAAGTAGAAATGAGCATGGGCTTCAGGCAGGAAGCGCGTAGGCTGGATAACCGCTTGTCATTAGGGGAACTGACTGGATTCCAAGAGAAGGCAAACGGGTGCGAGGAGGAGAGAGAGATTAAGAAGACTGCCAGCTGGGCATGTTCGTACAAGTTCATGATGAAACAAGCGCGGGTACTTACGAAGACTTAGAAAGGATGGTCTGTCCAGTGTCCTTCCTAAGCCTTCACACATTTTGACACTCATTTCATCGTGAAATGAAAAAAAAAGGCAGGTGTGACGGGGCAGCAGAAAGCAAAGGACCAGGATATTTGGTGGAACATAAGAGAGGTATTTCCCATGCAGTGGGTGTGTTTGAGCTGATGATGATGATTGTGGTGCGAACTTCATAACTGTGCTTGCGATAGACTTTAAATTATACTTTGAAGTGGCCAATGTTGCATCGTTTCTGTACGACGCGGCTGCGGCATAAACCAAGAACTGAAGGAGGCTAGCTGTTTAGAAGACATTGCGTACGAGACTTGATAACCCTATCGCAATCTTCTGTTGCACGCCAAGCTCAAGTGTCCTCAGTTTTTGTTTTTTAAATGCTCTAGTTTATTGGTGCGCAGTATAAGTGGTAGGTTTCTTTTCGGTTTCCCTATGTCGGGGCTCACACCCACTACAAGTTCGTCGAAGACATCAAGCGCACGGCCATGGAGGCTAGCTTTAGCGGTATGAACAGAAAATGCGAAAGAATGGTAACGAATAAAAACTCATTGGCGATGTTTGCACTAACTTGCGCATGGTCCAAACAAGCAAAACTGTCTGTGTTGCTTCTAGACTGTTGTTATTCCACGTGATGCTAGGTTATTTCTACTCTGATTATCAGCGTGGGTAGGTTTGTGTCGAACCACAAAAAGTTAGAAACGTGACCCGGACGTCCGAACTTCACAGACAAAAATTCGTGGTGAAAGCAAGCATTCGTGCCTCTCGTATAGATGTGCGGGCTCATCATCGTTGGCGTACACCTCCCATCACTTCGGGGTCATCTCGCATCCACCGTCACCTCGTATTTTCTCGTAGTCCACACTTCGGGGTTTTCGGGTCACTGCCGTCCTTTCGCCGGCTCTCGTTGTTGAGCAAACTGTTGTCTGTTATAGAGGTTCATTATTGAGCAGCGCGATACCCGATTTCTGAGACACACATCCGCTTCTGATAATGATAGTTTTTTTTACTCATTGGACACAGAAAGGTTTTCTGAATAGCATTGCTGTTAAGAAAACGTGAAAATGCTGTAAAAGAGGCAAAAGCCTTTGCCCTAAGTGACCACTCCATCGTAGACAAAAGCATGGGTCCCGGTTATTTATTTTATCTGCTTCTCGACGGTATTCTAGTCGTTGTACTCATACACAATGCCGGCACTAAATTGCACTGGTCTTCCAGAGATGAACCTGAAAGCTGGTTCACCTAAGTAAGGGCTCCTAAGTTGGGTAGTCCGTTCATATGAAGCAGAGTTTATGGGACTAAACATTAATGAACAGCTGATATTTGTGAAGATATGCCGGATACAAGATATGTAGTCCGGAGACGCCCCGCCCAGACGACCGACGTGCTGGAGCCGATAGCCTTCATTGCCGATAGATTGAACAAATAGTCCCGCTGATGCACTCGGCAACGTTCAACGAGGACGGGGTCTACGACTCGTCCGCCTCGTGACGCCAGTTTGCTGTGCGCGTCCATTATTAGTTCAGGCTTATTTGCATCCGAGTCTGAAGAGAAAAAGACGTGAAAACGTTAAGTTCTATTCGACTACAGTTATTGTTGTATTGCACATTGCACCGACAACTGAATGTTTCTCTAAGTGTGGTAGAACATCATCCCGGAAGTGTCCAGAAAGGGCTCCAGAAGAAACAGTGTTCGAAATAGATTGACCTGTGCCACCTTGCCTAACGCCACATTTTCTCACCCTAGTTTTTGTTGGTGCTCTTATTGCAACAATATCTTCATTTTATACTAAAGGACCGCGTTAAAATAAACTAAAAAATTTTATACTAAAGAAGCTTACTAGAAGACAGCCGCAATTTGGGGAATGGTTCACGCCAGAGGCGTCGGCAGAAATGTTTCCGAAGGGGGCACCACCTTGATCTGAAGTGGCGGTTCGGCCGGCAGATATGGTTGAGCATTATCTTGTGCCCTGTATGTAATATCTAAAAAAAGTTTCGGAGTAGAGGACACGGCCCCTGTGTGCCGCCACCAGGCCACTGCTTCACACTTCCACTTCCACGGCACTTTGCCATAAGTACACTCGAAGTGACTCTCAGGCTTTATTAACACCATATACCACAGAATGTGGGAACGCAAGAAACAAACGAAAAAGCCAGGTCTGTGCGAAAAGCAAAGTGCAGTGAAGGTCACGTTAGGGGTGCGGTCTTGATAGGTGTGTTTAAAACATGATGCTGTTGTAGACATGAGCCCTGCTGCAAATACAAAGTCCTCTGCAACGTCAGTTGCGAGGTACGTACCTACTAGGGACTAAATCGTAACGTATCACCAAGTAGCCAAGGGCACATTTAAGCAATACGTACACCTACATAGCAGTGCGCTCATTGCTTGCTTTGGTAGGAGGACGGTGAATTCCGGCAAAACCCTTTGTAATGAATCGCAACTCGTAACGCGCTTGGTTGGTGTAACGCCTTCTTAGACTAAACTCTTTGACGACAAAATGTCGTTGAAGAGTTGAACTCTTCGAACTCTTCGACGACGAAAAGCTTCCAACATTGGCGTGGCTGTGAAATAGAACACTTACGGGCCAAGCGGAAAGCCTGGGGTCAAATTCACTTCGAAACTTCTTTTATTTTTTGCAGTGGAAGCTGTTATTGGATCACAGCAGCCGATTTTGTAAACGTAGTTGTCCGCTATCACCGGTGTCCGTAACAGCTATCGTGCGGAATGAGAAGAGTATACGCAGGCTTTGAACGGAATCGAAAGCAAAGTGTTCTTTGTGGCAGTCGAGTATTTCACGACAGCGCAGGCCGGTGCTTGAAATTCCTTTGCAAAACAAAAAAGAGAGACATAACCTAGGTGTCACGCAGAGCAACGAATAGCTAAAGGATGATTGGGCGGTAGAATATTAAGAAA